AGAGAAAGAGATTTGGGCAGTGTATGGGAAGGAGAACTCCGGAGTCTGGAGGTCTACAGCTTAATAGCCAGTGGCAGGAACTTGGGGGAGAATAAGTGGGGAGCAGGGATCCCCAAGTAGAGGAAAGCTGGCTTTCCACACTTTGAAATAAGCAGCATCCTCCTTCAAAAGATCCCCTTCTGCTGAGAGCCTTAAGTCTGAAGTCTAAACTGTACTGTGTATGTGTTGTGTGCCTTCAAGTCTTTTCAGATTTATGCCAACTCTAAGGCGAACTTATCATGGGGTTTTCTTGGCAAGATTTGTTCAGAGGAGGCTTGCCTTTGCCTTCCCCTGAGGCTGTGAGCATGTGATTTGTTCAGGGTCACCCAATGAGTCTCATGGCCAAGCGGAGAATCGAACCCTGGTCTCCAAAGTCATAGTCCAACACACAAATCATTATGCCACACTGTCTCGCAAATCTTACCACAATCAAAATGTGTGGGTATCTGCAAATGAGAGCCAATTTGGAGTAGTGGTTTGAGCGTTTGACTATGACTCAGAAACTAGGGTTTGAATTCCAGCTTGGCCATGTAAGCCCATTTTGTGCAAGTCACACTTTCTCAGCTTCAGAGGATGACAGTGGCAATCCCCCTCTGAAGAAACATGCCAAGAAAACCCCATGATAAGTTTGCCTTAGGGTCACCATACCTCGGAATCAACTTGAAAGAGAGAAAGTAAAAGAAAGCTGAAAAATATGTGGAGAGAATGAGTTCATTCCAGTTGCATGGACTTAGGTTTGGTCTCCATCCTCTGCTGAAGCAAAGGAGTTTTCCTGGGGCTATGGTGTTGCTTTGCAGCCGAAATCCAGTTTAAATCCTGCAGCTTTGCCCAAAAGTAACAGCTCTAAACCCCAGTGCTATTCTTTATGATTTGGCTTCCATGATCCCTTTGCTTTTCTTAAGAAACCTGGGGATCGTGAGTTGCAAGGCCAAGGTTGCCCTAGGCGTGCCTGATTCTCGGAGCTGGTTGAACAAGTTGTCCTGTGGGCTGTGAGTGTGAAAGCGTAACATCCTCACCTGTGGACTGGATCACTTCTCCCTTTTAAGACTTAAAGTTTGGGGGTCTGGAGTGCTTGTGGAGTAGAGTCATAGAGGTCAAGGAGATCGCAAGTGCCATATAGTCCAACCCTCTACCATATGGGAATACACAACTAAAGCACTCCCAAGATCCAACTTTTGTTTAAAGACCTCCAAAGAAGGAGAGTCAGTCCATCACCTGCAAGGCAGTCTGTTTCACTGTTGAAGAGCTCTTAAGGTAGGGCAAGGAAAGACTCAGTATAAAACATCATCTTATGTCTCTAACTTCTTAGTAGTAAAAGGAATTTGACAATTGATCCAGTTGCCTACTGCCAGGGTGGGCAACAGAAAGACATGAATCTAGGGGTAGATCTGAGTGACCGGCACTAGAAGAGTAAGGATTTTTTACTTGCAATTGTTTTACAATAGTTAGCAACATAGCGTGGTGTAGTAGTTTGAGCATTGGTCTAAGACTTTGGAGATCAGGGTTTGAATCCTGGCTCGGCCACGTAAACTTACTGGGAGAGCTTGGGCAAGTCATACTCCCTCGACCTCAGAGGATGGCAATGGCAAACACCTTCTGAAGGAACTTGCCAAGAAAACCAGCTCGCCTTAGGGTCACCATAAGTCGGAAACAACTTGAAGGCACACAACAACAACAAAGCAACAAAAGGACTCCCTTCTCATCCTAAATTATACTGCTGATATGAAAATGCTTGGGGGTAATCAGGAGTGGAAGTCCTGGTTTTCAGTTGTTTTGGGGACTTTCTGCATGGCTTAGAAGCAAAAATTGCCCTAAAATTGGGATGATTTTTTTCAAACTGTGGGAGGTTGGGGGGCTTTGGGGGACTGATGGTGGGGCCTGGGGGCTGTACTTGGCCCACCCCCATTTAAAGTCATTTTTGCCTTTGCAGAGATTCTGAAACTTCAGCCCAGAGGAAAACGCCCTAGACTTATCCTCATTCTCTGTTGTTGTGTGCCTTCAAGTCATTTCTGACTTAATGGCAACCCTAAAGCAAGCCTATTGAAGATTTGTTCAGAGGAGGTTTGCCATTACTTTCCCCTGCATCTGGGAGAGTGTGAGTGGGGGGAAATCAAGCACACCTTGAGGGGTATAGCCAAATATTCTTAATAATAGCAAAAAAAAATTGTTAAAGATTGGGGTTACTGTACACCATTGGGAGAGGTGAATTATAAACAGGTCAGAGGCAGGTACCCCCTCCCAAAAAGTCTAAAAAAGCAAAACACACACCCACACCCAGACATGAAAACATAATGGCAACCATTTACAAAATGATACTTGGGATTATGCATCATTCTGTCATTAGCAGGCTACTTAACAATTCAGTTTGCTAAAAGGCCCTTATCACATTTGAGGCCGAAGGTGACAGAATTCACTACCTTAGTGAAATATACAGACACCCCCTCCGTTCCCGTGGACTTGAAGTCCACGGTTTTGCATATTCACAGAGGGGCGACCTCCACTGAAATCAATGGGGCACGCACCTGCGGGCGTGCATCCACGTGTGCCCGCAGGAGTGCGCCCCATTCAAGCCTATGGGGCTTGAATATTTGCAGTCTCCATTTTCGCGGGGATGAGTGGGTCTGGAATGGATCCCCCATGAAAACGGAGGGCCAACTGTAGATGCAGTTTGTTAAAAAGTCCTTATCACAATTGAACCAAAGGTTATAGAATTTACTGTCTTGATGAACTATAATTCTATGATTGCATGCTACAGTCTCCTTAAGTTTTTAATTGGCAAATGGCATTGGCAGTCTGTGTGGTTACTTTCTCAATGATCTTGTGGGGCGTCTCTCACTGTTCCCATTTTGTAGATGGCAATCTAGCTCATGATGGAGACTTGCCCAAGGTCAAATGAGACTGGGACCCAGGTGTAGATATTGCAGCTCAAGCTGTCTAGCCGGCAGGCCATGCTACGTCAAGTGGAAATGCTGCTCTGTGTCTTCATAGTCTGTCTTCTTTCCTTCTTTCCCAGATGCCCATCCTCAAGCAGTCCCCAGTTTCCCACTCCAAGAAGCGGCCCCGTCTGGATCGAGCCATGATCAGTGCCCCATTGGGGGATTTCCGGCACACGATGCACATTGGCCGTGGTGGAGATGCTTTTGGTGACACATCGTTCCTCAGCAACCACGGGGGCTCCAAACCCAATGGGATGCCCCCTGAAGTGGCGGTGTCTCCTGGGACTCCATCTCACCCAGGAGATGTATCTGGGCGCCTTGAATTGCTGTCTTCCTCTGGTAGTGGGAATGGTGTCCTTCAAAGCCCAGCAACATCGACCCCAGATGGCAGCTTTGTGGTATTACAGCACCCTGGGACAGAAGACCGGCAGCCCCAGAATAAGCCTCCTAATGGAGAAGACTGGGACCTACAGCAGAAGTTCTCCTTGGAGAGTCCCACATTGGAACATGCTGAATCCCTTCTCTCTTTCCAGTTGGACTTGGGACCTTCCATCTTGGAGGACGTGCTGGGAGTGATGGATAAAGACTGGGACAGTGTCAAATGGGAGGAACAAGAACCATTGAGGGCTGAAAGCTCTAGCCCAGTGGAGCAGCTCCACCAAAATGCAGCAAGAGAAGAGGAGGAGGAAGAGGAGGAACAAGAAGAAGAAGAAGGGGAGGAGGAGGAAGAAGAAGAAGATGATGATGAAGGGCAGGGCTACAGTTTTGAGGATGAGCAGGATGAAGAGATTGGGCTATAGGATGTAGGAGTGATACTGGTCTTTGCTCTCTTTGGATGATCCTGCCCCCTCCCTCAATATTCCTTTGCTTTTCTTCGGCAAAATTTCTCAGGCTCTCTGAGATCAGTCAACAACTGGCAGCCCATGGACCAAACCTGGGCTGCAGATTACTACAGGTTGGTCCACTGCTTCTCTGTGCCCCCTCTCAAAGAGCCTTGTAGCCTTCAAATCTCTCATAGTTGAGTCAAAGAGGAAAATGAACTGAGGCAAGCAAGATTCTTGCAATTCTCCTTCCTGTGCACACAAAGGCTGTGCATCAGTTTCAGTTTGGTTAGGCTTTCTTTTTTTATTTTCAGAAGGGAAAGCAGTTTGGTCTCCCACCCCTGTGATCTGTCCTGGACTGGAAACTTGTTGGGCTTGATGAGCAATCATAAGTCACAGGATGCAATATGGAGTGCTATCTCTGAAAAACTGGGTGGCAGTACATAACCACCTCTCTCTCCCCTTCAGTTTATTATATTCCCTGCAATTTATTGCAATTTATTATATTCCCTCCAAGGCCTGGGATGGTAGACATTCTTTGATGTACTGAAAAATGAATCTGGTGTTTCCAGAACCCTGGAATCAGTAAAGTGGCACATCATGGATATTGTTAGAAGACATTTTGTTGGTTCATTTTCACTCAACCTAATTGTGGTTCTCTATTCAACTGTGTTGGTTTTTTCCCCTTTTTATCCAACCTTGGAACTGTTTTTGATAAACAGATAAAAGGACAGTGGAGCTGGTCAATCAATTTTTCCCTATTGATCTGTGTGGTGGCAAGTGGTACACTTGTTAAGTGTAAACAGAGGGGAATGGGTTAAGAATGAACAGAGAATATGTAGACATTTTGATTTTTAATTCGTGTGTCAGTCTCTAGCAGTTTCTGTAGGCAATTCTTACCGTACTTTGTTTTCCTAACCATCTTCAAATGTAATAGTCAACGGTGTCTAACCATCCTTCTATCAATTTATCTGTCCATAATTCTCTTTTCATCTCTTCATCCATCCATTTATCCCAGTGTTCTCATGTCTCTCTAGGTAGCATTTCACCATTTGTGGTGGTGGTGGTTCTTTTCAGTCAGAACATCAGTGCATTTGTATATCCCACAGCATTACTATCTGCACTGCAAAGCCTCTTGCTATGGGACTCCAGCCTCAATATGGTGTAAGACTGGAAGAGGAAGAAGGAGACATTGGATGGTTTCGGGGAGGTCATGGAAGAAAATGGCTTTTTGTCTGGGGCTATGTATGGGAGAGGAGAATCTTGCATATTTTCTCAAGGATCCATACAAGAGAAGGAGGACAGGATGAGCTAATGAAGGAAGAATATTTTGGGCATAATGTGAATTGACTATTGAGCAGAATTGTAAATAGCCACTCAACTGGTCACCTATGATGAGTGTAACAACTGCACATAGGTGGCAGACAGAAAATGTTTTGTATACTGTTAAGAGACTTTTCTCCATTGTCTTCATCCCACCAATATATTTTTTCCAAAAACTGATAAAGGTATGCTTGAACAAACAGGTCAGCCCAATACCTTTATTTTATTTTATTTTATTTTTGCTACCGTAGTACTTTTTCTTTCTTTCAGATTTACTTAACAGTGGACAAAACTGGAAATGTTCAGGTGGAGAAACGATTCCTCTTTTGTT